TCCCTTCACTCACACATTCAGAACATACCATTGGCTAATAAGGCCGGCCCATCTGTATGAATTATGGCCCCTCCTATGCCGCTCACTTCAGACGCTCCTCCCATAAGGGTCGGCTTAACACCACGCTTATGAAACAGAGTCAGCCCTGAGCAGACCGTGTCTCTGAAGGACTTAAGCTGCTGGCTGTGGCTCTGAGGCCGGCTTTCAGGTGAGCCATGAGGGAGAGGGGCGGGGAGGCAGAGAGGCGGAGAGGCAGAGAGGCCTCAAGCTTACAGTTTCACCGAAACCTGCCGCGTGTGCGGCCACATTTATGCCAGGGAGCCAGATCACGGCAGCGGAGGAACCACGTTCCAATCCACCGCAACGTAATCCTGTATCTCAGGCAAGACTGGAGCAGAAGAGGGTGTCACGCACAGCTAAAGCGACAGGGACCACAGAGAGGAGCAGAGATTTCGGCCTTGTGGTGAATGAATCCTGCATCGGCCCAGGACAGGGAGAAGCGCGGAAATGGTGAACACACCCAGTGCTGGGACTCCAGCTGCACCCATCCGCTCATCCCCCCCCAACCACCTGCTTCGCACATGCTGGGGGCCAGTCAGGGGCCCAACACACAGGGACCCCTCATGCCCTGCCACACGCCGGGCCAGGCAAGGGACAGCCACCCGCCATACTGCTGCGGGTCCCTAATGAAGCCCCTGTGGTGACGAGCGCATCAGCTGGGTAATTACGCCCATTCCTCACAGCTGAGCTCCGCAGATGCGGCGTCGAGCCATGCGGTAACGAGCGGGCGGGCGCCGGGAACGAAGCCGCAATTCGGCAGACCCCGCTATCCGCCATTAGCGCCTTGGCACACTCACAAATGAGCCCCCCCCCCCCCCACAAGGACCCGCAAAGGCTGTGAAATTCCAGCAAATTCCTCCCGTCTACACGCGAGCCGCAGTCGGAGGGTGCCGCGATGAAATAAAGCCCGGATTTGAATATGAAAAACGAAAATAAACCGCGGAGGAAATCGACTTCTGGGAGAGAACGGGTGGGCGTATGGGGGGGGGGGACTGCCGTGATTGGATGTGTCGTGTCTCTTGGCAGACGCAGCCGGGCACCATGGGAAATTACCGAATCAGAATGCATTGATTTTTCTATAGGGCAAAACATAATAAAAAAAGGGACAAAATACCCAATACACACACACACACACACACACACACACACACACACAGGCATCTCATCCGAGTCTCTCAACAGACTGAAGCCCTTTATGTGTCGTCGCAGGAACCTGTAGGACCTTAAACTCCTGACAACCAGTAAAAGAACTGACTAGGGCCAGGTGAGTGAAAAAAGGAGTGTGAGAGAGAGAGAGAGAGAGAGAGATAGATATCAATGGCATGGGCTCAGACAGGACACACCAAACGGATGCCCTACTTTCCCCCTCCCTCATGAGTGTATGTGTAAGTGCCTCCACACCCCAACTCCTAAGGCCGTTGGCTGGCAGGGCCTCTCCGCCCAAAGGCATGGTCACCAAGATCCCCGTGGGGGGCGGGGGAGGGGGTGACAAAAACAAAATGAATTCTTGCCACTAACAAAAAAAATACAAGGGAAAAAAAATGCACGTCATCGCCGGAACAGGGCAGATGTGGGACAGAGGCGGTCACTTCCCAGAGCAGGGACCTTAAATTCCTGTTTATCACCCTGTCCCACGGTGACACCATTCTGGCATTACGGTAACACACTTTCACCGCGCAGATACGGAAGCGTCTCTGTCACCCGCAGCTGCCTGGCCTGCCGTACCGGCCGTCCTGCCCACGCTGCCTGTGAAACCAGGGCTTCTCAATGAAAACAAAGACGGCAGAGAGACGGCACTCCCCCCTCACTCTCCTCCCCCCTGCCCCCCTCCCTCCCTCCCGCCGATGCTAAACGATCAATTTCAAGGTGACCCTTCCCGAATCACCCCGAATGCTCCTCTCTCACAGCTCCAGCCCGGTCCCAGTAATTAACACCAGCGCCTAATGAAGTCCAGCTGCTCGCCGCACAAGCCGGGCGTGTGCCAACTCCACCGGAGCCCCCCCCCACCCTAGCCTAACACGCTGGCCCATTGCTCTCCTGCACCTCCCCCGCAATAGAACGTTCCACATCCGCCCCCTCCCCCGGCCAATACCCCCATCGCCACTGCTCTCTCTCATTTTCCCAGAATCCTCTGCTCCCCTCCACCTCCTGCTCAGCCTCCACCTCTCTCTTGTTCTCCATCTCATCCCCCACTCCCTGCCAATATCCTAGCTCTCCCTTCGCTCTCTTTGTTGCCCTAGTAATCTCTCTCTCCCTCTTGCCCTCACTCGCTCCCTCGCTCTGTCTCCCTCCCTCTCTCCCTCCCTGCATGCAGGCCACCTCCTGCCGCTCAGGAGAAACGCCGGAGCAGATTGAGAGACGGTAAATAGCCAATCAGGGGCTTGGCATCAGAACCTGAAACGGAGCGCCCCCTACTGTCCTTGCCATAAAGCCTCAAACGCGGGACCCCAGACCCAGTTACCACCACCCCCCCCCCCCCACATCCCACAGAAGCCACGTGGAGGATTCCCAGGTGCCCACCCCCACACAGCCCACAACAGCAGTCAGCTTGTAGGAAACATCCACATTTGTATCATCGGTGGGCTCACAGCCTGACCGACACTGGGAAGGATATGGGCTTAGTGCCGGAACCAAGGTTCTGCTGGGTGTGGATGAGCATGTGGGGTCATCAGTGCACCTTCAGAATCCACCCCCCCACCCCCACACCTTCCAGTCCTACTAGCTACTTAATACCTTTATAGTTGTCGCCGAAAATCAAATCACACTACGGTCACCGGGACTGGAATTTGTGCCCAAATTCAGCGACCCCCACCTCCACTCACATCACATTTTCAGATGGATGGGGGGGGGGGGGTGTAGGTCTCCTCCATGACTGAGACCGTGCCCCCCACACCCCCAAAAAGGATGCCCTAATTTACGGAAGGGTGCGGCCCAGTGCCGGCCACCTCCAGCAGGCCTCGTGCTCCTCCAGCCGCCGTCAGCTGAGAAAAGAAATTCTGAATACTTAACGAATTAAGCGCGGAGCTAATTGCGGCCGGCCCGCCTTCATGACGTGCACATGCGGGCCGCTTGTTTGTCTTTAACAATTACCACAGAGATGGGGGGGGG